CCAGGAGGTGATGGGACCAGTGGCCATGATCTTAGTTTTTTTGATGTTGAGTTTCAGACCGTTTTTTGCACTCTCGTCTTTCACCCTCATTACAAGGTTCTTTAGTTCCTCCTCACTTTCCGCCATCAGAGTGGTATCATCTGCATATCGGAGGTTGTTGATATTTCTTCCTGCAATCTTAATTCCAGCTTGGGATTCCTCCAGTCCAGCCTTCCGCATGATGTATTCTGCATATAAGTTAAATAAGCAGGGTGACAGTATACAGCCTTGTCGTACTCCTTTCCCAATTTTGAACCAATCCGTTGTTCCATATCCAGTTCTAACTGTTGCTTCCTGTCCCACATATAGGTTTCTCAGGAGATGGATAAGGTGGTCAGGCACTCCCATTTCTTTTAGGACTTGCCATAGGTGTTAACAAGTGATAATGCCCATCCCCATGTAGTTAAAAGTTTTACCCCCTGATTTCTGCATGGCATAAAGCTCCTGGAGGTACAGCACTAAGCCAGACCAGTTTATTTCTGTTGGATTAATAACTGCGACTTAGTAGAGTGAGTAGTATACCAACCAAATTTCCAGTCTGCCCTGGTTGTCAACAGTACTAAATGTATACATTCAAGCTTGGTATTGTGTTTATTTTCTCTGTGCCAGGTAGGTATGGCCTGCCTGTCAGAGCTGATCACCCTCTGGAACAGTGTAAGGTCAACTTCATGCAGTTTCTCAAGAGCGCAAGTAGAATAAAGAATCTTGCTGAGGGGAGGGGAGCAGTTTATCTCTCATGTGAATTCAGTCTATATTCTAAGTTGGTTGTATTATAATAGGCTGTGATTAGAGTTGGGGACGAACCACAAATTCCCCCAGTGAACCGACGAACCACAAATCAGTTCATCTGTTTTTGTTTTGGACAGCTTGTGGCTGCCTTTAAAAAACTGAGTTAATCTTCCCTCTCTGGCTATGGGGGACAAATGACAATGGGTAAGTATTTATCCCTTCTTATTCTTCGGGGTCTCTGGAATTGATGAATACGAAGGGACAAATATTTGATGAATCAGTTAAAATTCGTAGGGACAAATATTTGATGAATCAGTGATTTTTGATGAATATCACAATTCTCCTTAAAATTCGTCCCCATGTCTAGCTGTGACTTTAAAATATGCTTACCTGATTTTCTAAGGCTGTGTGTTGCTGATTTGTTATTTTTAATTGAGAGTAAATGTGAATTCCTTTTTTTGTTCCTTTTTTTGTGTACCACCTCCAACAGTTGCTATGGAAAGGCAGGCTATAAATGTATCAAAGAAACAGATTCTATTAATATTCCAGTTTGGGGCAAATTGCTATTGCAAAATAAGCTGATGCAGTACATGTAGATATTATATTATTTCCCTTGATTGGTTACCTGGGCATACAGTTCTAATTTCCTTAAACCTGTCACTTTAAAGAGGTGTTCCCCCATCCTTAAAACTTCTGTTTTAAATATTATATAGTATGTGTAATGCATGAGATACTTATAAATTGTCAGTAGGTGGTGATGCAGTACTGTTGACATAAGTATATTACTAAACACCAAACAAGGAAGCTTTTATTGAAAGCCGCTTTGTCCATTCAGTATCTGTGGTGGTGTAATTCTACGTCACTAAGTCACTTTTGATTATGATTATCTTAATAAGGTTTTTGAGGTATGTGAGATTTTACCATTGATACCCCTCATGGAGTTTTCATGCCCAAGTGGGGATTTGAACCCAGGCCTCCTGAGCCTTAGTAGCACACTCTATCCACTACACCACAGTGGCTTTCTTCTCTGTAGGTAGAAAGAAACCATTGCTCTTTCTTGGAGGCTGATGTTCTGTACTGTGTGTCAGAGTGACAGTGAGTTGAGAAATCTTAGCTCAAATTTGCTTGCAGAAATACCAAAAATATTCTAATTTTACTCTTCCATGCACATTCCCATTTATAGACACAGATGGACTTGAGATCTTGGAGGAAGAAGAGAATGGAATTGAAAAGTTTATCTTTTGTATTTCTCAATCGTTCTGCTTTGTATACTTATATTTGTATGTCTATTCTTTCGTAATTGTATTAAATTATAATAATATTTCTTTGTAGAAATGCAGAAGTATATTCTGATTTTATTCCCCGACTCACATTTCCAGTTATAATGTTGAACTTGAGTATTTGAGTGGTGTTTTTTCTTTGTTTGATAAGTTCATATCTAAGACATCATTACCTTGAAATTTATATTTTTTTAAAAAGTCACAATTCCAGAATTCTGAAGAATTCAAATGTTTAAATGTCTAAATCTCTGTTTATTCCATTTCAGCTCTCTTTTATGCAAAACATAACTACAAAGGAGAGACAGAAGAGGCCACCTGCACAAGAGGGTCCTCTAAGAAAGACTGCCCATCTGGAGAGTGGTAGGCAACATTTTAAGTCATGCCAGTTGTTGACATTCATAAGGTTCTTCTTCATGGTCTCTGTGAATGCACACTAGGGTTTAATCTGCGCTTTCACAGAGGTTTCCGGAATATTCTAGAGCTTTATCATGCATTCGTCAGGACTGCACCCTAGTACATGTGGTCCACCCATTCTGGCGATTCCCTCAGTTCCTTTTTGTTGCCGCTGAGGTTTCATCTCTCGTGAAGCTCTCCGTTTGCCACTGCTTTTGATTTCTTCCTATAATACAAATAACAGAGGGGAAAATTGTAAGAGACTTTTCTTTGGATCTCCCCCTTTCCCCTCCCCCCGTGCCATTTATTGCCCCTCTATCACCGTTTAAACAGTGCACCTCAATTTCCAACAAGATCCCCCTCTCAGACGGACACGATCTTTGCCTATTTTGCCTTGGAGAGTCTCACTATCCATCTTTGTGCCAGTTTTGAAAAAAAACTTGACTAATCAAGCTCTTAAGCTCAGACTGCAACGTCTTGGATCTCTTCTTTGGGAGCATTCCCTGCGCCTAACACAAACTGTAGAGGCTTCCCAAACTTCTCAGCCCCACAAGGGATCCCCTGATAGGTCCACCGCTTCTCTGACAGCGAAGCTACCAACTTCTAAATCAGAGTCTAAGTCCACTTCTAAATCTAAGTCTTCAACATTGACTACCAAGTCAATACCAGTATCAAACCTTCCTTTGGTACCGGAGCACTCCAAGCCTAAAAAGACCAAGAAATCCACTTTGGATTCCAAGTCCGCTAAAAGATCTACGGCACCCGACAAAACTACTCTGACAATTCCTTTACAGGACCAATGAACTGTCTGTCTTGATTTTCCAGATGATGATTTTATGCCACCACCTTCCGGTCAACTACCATCTCCACTCCTTGCCCAGTCTCCATCTTGGGCTAACACCTCAGTTGAGGTGACAGTTATCTCCCAATCGGCACATTCGAGCCCCAAATCCATGGGTTGCTCAGTCTCTGTGTGTGACTCAGAGTCGATGTATGCTTTACCTGACCCATCAGCTCCGTGTAAGCAATCCAGAAAGACTCACCATACACCAGAGACTTGGCGATCTGATGCTGATTTTGCACAACCTCCGACTTCTATGGGGTTGTTGGCATCCCATGATTCTTTGGCTCGATATTGTCACCTGAAATGAGTCACGCTCTATGAACCACCAACTTATTGTAAGCCTCCACCCAAGGACTATCGACATCGAGAGTATTGATATTGGCAACCTGATACTGAAATTTACATCAAACATATACGCTCACAGTATGGATATTACTCTCAATCTGACGTATCAGATCAACCATCTCCTCCTTGGTACTGGCCACGGTCCCATGACTACTACCAAACCTCGTCTGAGGATGACACAGTGCCTTTACTTACAGTACCAAAACCGCATAGATCTTCTCGCAAGAGGAATTGGCAGCGGCCCCTCGACTTTGGAACAGCTTGCTGTCAGAGATTTGTCTGGCACCCTGGCTGGGTGTGTTTAAGAGCCAATTAAAGACTTGGCTGTTTAGGCAGGCCTTTTCTCCTACCAATACTTGAATTTTACTTCTTACCTTAGCTTTTTTTTCACATTGCCCATCTTGAACAATACTAATACCATTGACTCAATTTGTTTTAACTGTTTTATGATATGTTTTATTGTAAGCCACCCTGAGTAGACATTGTCTAGAAGGGCGGGATATAAATCAAATAAATTAAGAAAGAGGACCTTGAAGTCAACAAAGAAAAAACTATTCTAATCCCTGCATAGAGAGTCACCTACATAGGTGCAGTTCTTGACTCTCGAAAAACAAGAGTTCTCCTTCCTCAAGAAAGAGCAACAAAACTTCATGCTCTTATCCCACTTTTTCTGCCTTATGCAGTGGTCACTGCACATCAGACCCAACCTCTTCTTGGCCTCATGGCCTCTACTACATCAGTCATTCAGCATGCCAGACTAAAAATTTATTTTATTTTTATTTTATTTGTTCGATTTATATCCCGCCCATCTGGTATATTCTACCATTCCCCACAGGCGTGGTATCTGTCCCTCTTCGATGCAATGTCAGACCCACCTTCCAAACTCCTGCAGGTTACCAGTCTATTCATCAGAAGGCCCTTTGCACCTCTTCAACTGACAATCCAAGTCACTACCAATGCCAGCCCCATTGGATGGGGAGCACATTGCAATGGCTTATGCGTACACGCTACCTAGGTCTCAAACCGAACAAGACCTTCATATCAACAGCCTCGAACTACTAGCCATTTTCATAGCTTTCAGTGCCTTAGACCCTATCATCATTGGCATAGCTATGCAAGTAACCACAGAGCTTTTCTACATAAACAAGCAGGGAGGTATTCACTCTCTTCCATTGCTGTTCCTTACCATTCAACTCCGGGAGTGGTGCCTCAAACATCACATAGTAGTGCTCATCGTCCCTCAAGACAATCACATAGCAGATTCTCCGATCAGGAGTCGGACCCAAATGTATGAGTGGACTCTTGACCAGGCTGTATTTCTTCGCCTTTGCAAACTCTGGGGATAGCCTCGATAGACATATTTGCCACATCCCAAAACTCAAAATGTGCTCTCTATTGCTCCACAGCAGGCAGAGGCCCAGGGTTGCACTGATGATCAATTGGACCGCAAATCTAATCTATCTTTTCCCACCTATTCCTCCTCCTCCTCAGGACTATAGTTAAATTCTGTCAAAGACACTCCAACGCTATTTTCATGACTGCCTGGTGGTCCAGGCAGCCATGTTTCACCATGCTCCGCCCCATCTCCACAGACCACGTTCACCTGCCCCCCATTCCTCCCTCCTCACTCAACATCATGGCAGAACTTACCACCCCGACCTTCACAGTCTCCACCTCACAGCATGGAGGATTCGCCCTCGGTAACCGCCATTTTATGTAACGCCCAAAACCCTGCTACAACACAACTTTATTTTTATAAATGGCTGCTTTCCAGAAACTTGCAACTCAGTGCAACCTCCCAACCAATCCACCAAAGGAATGCAGTCCTTGCATTCCTTTCCTATCTTTTTAATAAGCAGCTTTCCCTGTCCACTCTCAAGGTTTACATTTCCACCATAGTTGCACATCGACCTCGAGACTCAGATGTGGCTCTACTTTTTCGTCACCCTACATTGAAACAGTTCCTCAAGGGTGTCTCCAATATGCAACCACCTGCACCTCCACCTCTGCAATGGTCCATACATACCGTCCTCCAATGTCTCACACTTCCTCCATTTGAACCGCTTGATACCATATCTAAATGCTTCCTCTCCTTTAAGATTCTTTTTCTAGTAGGCATTACTTCAGCTCGCAGAGCCTCAGAACTGGCTGCCCTTCAGGTAGACCCTCTGTTCCTCCAATTCCACCCTGACTCTTTATCCAGATGTCTCCTTTCTCCCCAAAATTGTATTGGACATCCACCTCAAACAACCTATTGTTTTACCCACCTTCTTTTGGTCACTAACTGACCACAAATGTTCCTTCCATATGTTGGATGTCAGACAAGCACTGACGTTTTATATCTCACGAACTTCCTCCTTCTGCAAGTCAAAATGGCTCTTTGTCACGCCACACCTGCCTCACAGAGGATCTCCCATTTCTTCTCAGACTATCTCTTGCTGGATTGTCACAGCTATAAAGTTGGCATACCAATTCACCAAAAAGCCTCTGCCTATAGGCATTTTTAACCACTCCTAATTGCTGACTAGTTTCTTGGTCTCTGTCTTGTTCATCTATTTTGTTGATTATGTACATTGCCCAGAACTTTAATGCTAAAGAAATAGCTGCAGTTGAAGGAAATGGAAATAATGATTTGATTTGCACTTGAAGATGAGACATTACAAAGGGAACTTTTTGTCTGACTAAAGACAAGATCTGTAGTTCCATGAGTTGTAGGATTTAGCCTTTAACTAATGCATATGTCAATCCTGGAACGGGTAGGTCGGGCTTGTCAACCTTGGAAGGCAGCCCATCTAGGAGAAGGAAAACTCTGATTTCAAACCTCCACTGCCTTGTGGCTATATCCACTGATAGAAAAGGCTTCAGGAGTAAACCTCAGGCAAAATCTGGAGCTGGAGTCCTGGAGGCAGTTTGTGTTGTTCTGGCAAGTCTTGCGACGTCGCTGGAACCAGTTGCCTTTCCATTGGACTATTTCAGCAATGTGGAGAGGGGGGATTTGCTGCTTGGGTAACAGCCTATCCTCCATATTATTTTACCCAGGCTTTGTGCTCTGGAAAGGACACTCATACAGAGCATGTTACCATAGTCTCTTGAGACTGAAGGATGCCTAAGATAGGCATTAAGGCTCACTCCACAAGAGCTCTCGCTACCTCCACAGCCTTTCTGCGGATTACCTCTTCCAGACCTCTGTAAGGCTACTACTTGGGCAACCCCAGTCACGTTTGCCACTCATTACCACCTGGATGTCGGGGCTAAGATGGATGCAGCATTTGGCAGTGCTGTACTGTTCTTCCATGACGTCCCTCCTCTGGTAAGTCAGTCTGCTAATCACCCTATAGTGTGCATTCACAGAGACCACGAAGAAGAAAGAGAGGTTACTTACCCACGACTCTGGTTCTTTGAGTGGTCATCTGTGAATTCACACTTCCTGCCCGTCCTCCCCTCTGTCCATCACATTTGTCTCACCTTTGCTGCAGAGCTGGGCTGTTCTTAGGAAGTGAACCAATTGCCAGGATGGGGGGACCACATGTACTAAGTGGGGCAGTCCTGGTGAACACGCGATAAAGCTCTGGAATATTCTGGAAACTTCTGTGCAAGCGCAGATTAAAGCCTATAGTGTGAATTCACAGATGACCACTCAAAGAACCAGAGTTACAGTTACCTCTTTGTTTCTGTGCATTGAAATGGGGTTGGGTGGAGACTGGATCTATTGAGAATTTTAGAAGTATGATAGTATAAACTGCCCCTTTCTCTGGAAAGCACTGGAATATCTGCCATT